CACACACACACACACACACACACACCCCACCCCCATCTCTCTCCATAACTGTTCTCTCTCCCTCTGGGGACTCAACATGAAGACCGAGGCCCTCCTTCCACATCTCTCTGTTGATGTATGGTTTGTGGCTCCTCCTGCCTCAGTGTCTCATGTGTGGGAACGTCACCTCCTCCTCCCTCAGAAGCATAGTCTCTGCTGTGGGCCCAGGGTTTGGGTTTTGGTGATGGTGGACACCAGAGATGCTAGGCCTGGCCTCCAAGGTCTGTCTGGTCAGGTCTCTGGCTGCTCGTGTGCCTAACGTGCTTTGTCTTTTTAGGGTGAATTTTAGCCATTTAGCCAAAAGGCTCTTGCAGGTGTTCCAGGAGGAGCGTGTACAGAAGTACCAGGCAGCCCTGGTCACACATGGCAAGCGCATGAGGTAACTGTCCAGCCCTCCCCAGAGCTCAGGGACCCCAGCCTGGCCTGGGTCCTTCCAGGCTTCAGACAACACTGGTCTTTGTAAAGCTCTGATGGAGAGGGAGGGTGTTGTAAAGGAAGACAAGGGAAAAGTGGACCAGGCAGACTGCTGGGTGGTTCCTACAAATTAGCTCATTTGATCCCACAGTATCTACTCTATGAATTAGATGTTATCACCCTATTTCACAGATGAAGAAACTGAGGCTCAGAGAACAGGTCTTCCTCCATGTTGCTCAGCTACGAAGTAGCAGACTTAGTCCTTATGCATGGGGAGGTTTGCCTCTACATGCTGGATTCTTTTTACTATCCCAGCTGATTGTATTGGGACACCCCTTCTGTAGGGTGTGAGGACGTGCTGATTTATGTGTAGGGAAGCAGGGCAAACAGAACCTTCTCTCACACTGTCCCCTGCAGGAACATTAGGCTCTACCTTCATACCCAAGCCCCTCCCCCCTATGCCTGCATTAATATTGGTCCCTGAGATGAGAAGGCCACTTCTCATCATTGCTGGATTCTGAGGCCCATGTGACCTTCAGGCTGTTATGTGGCTGAGACCCTAGCTTTCACCTCCCCTCACATTAGAATCATAGTGCCTGGCTCCCCCACGTCTTTCCCCAGCCTACTCCCAATTCTGAATTCATAGGTCTGGAGCAGGGTTTGGATGTCAGTATTGTATTAAGTTCCACAAGTAATCCTAGTATGGAGCTAGGGTTGAGAACAGACCCTGGTTCCCCCTGTGCAAAGGGGAAAATATTCTTGCTCACTCCCAACACTTAGAGCCGAGACCTTAGTGACTGACTGGAAATAGTGGTGTGGGCAGTGCACCTCTTGAGGTGCTGCAGTGTGGGCTGTCCTGCATCCCTCGGAAGGCTTACCTGGTACCTCGCTCATCACAACCAACCAGTGTGACCTGAGCCTGGGCACTGCACCTTTGCAGTGCTCCCCACTGCAGTTCTAATGGGACCCTCACAGCCTCAGCCAGAGTGGCTCACTGGCATAATAAAATGGGGTGGGTGCAAATGGAAGGCACGTCGGGAAGGTCAGAGGAAGAAAGGAGGAAAATGACTGGGACCCAGCAGGGATAAGTCATCTGTGAGGTGACCCAGGGCGAGAGCCAAGTCTACCTCTTCATCTCTTTCCGTCTGCTCTCCGTAGGATGGTGCATGAGACCAGGAACCACTTGCGCCTGGTTGGCTGCTCTGTGGCGGCCTGTAACACCGAAGCCCAGGGGGCCCAGGAGAGTCTCAGCAAGGTGAGGGGTCCGGAGGGAGCCAGGCCAATCAGGTACCAGGGGGCATTTGGGCCATTCCACTGACCTTGACCAATTTTAGGCTATGGGTTGAGGGTCTCTAAGGCAGGCTGAGTGGAAGATGTTTCTGGAAGAATAAACAATATGGTTCGTGCATACATGGGAACAGTACTCAGCCATAAGACAAATAATTTATGCCACAGCATGGATGAAGCTCACCTCGGAGCCATATGCTAAGGGAGATGATCACAGGCTGAAGGTCACTACAAGGACAGAGGCTCCAGAATTCTAGAACCTCTTCCAAAAGCCCCTGTGCAGACTGAAAGGGGAGATTCCAAAGCTATGCTGAGAGAGGTCACGAAAACTCTCCTTGATCTTCTAATCTGCTCTTTGTGAGGAGACCAACACACTGGGCACTGCTTTGCCACCACAGACAGAGAAGGGCTACTGCTTTTGGTATAACTGGGATTCGGTGATTCACGTTCAGCTCTGGGAACCCACCAGCTGCTCTGTAGGAAAACAATGAGGCTGTCTGCTTTCATAAAGAAACGCCAGGGGGCAGTTCTGCTCCGTTCTAGAGTAGCTGTAAGTTGGAACCAACTCAATGGCATTGGGTTGATTTGAGTTTTGATGTGTAATAAAACAAATGGAAACTCTTGGTGGCACAAATAGTTAAGTGCTCAGCTGTTAACCAAGATTGGTGGTTCAAACCTACCCAGAGAAATCTCAGAAGAAAACCCTCTGGAGCACAGTTCTGCTCTGAAGCATAACTGGTTTGGTTTGGGTTTTTAGTAAAAAAGGAGAACTTCTTGGATGTCTGGATCCTGAAATTCAAGAAAAGAGGGTAGTTATGCAGCTGTGCTCCCAGAATGGGATGGAAGGGATCATGGGAAGACATGATGATTCTGGTAGATCCAGGGGTGCAGGGTGGGGACCATTTGTTACCCTTTTTACCCTTCCTCAACATCCCCACCCCCTAACCACCACCCCCAGACTGGCTCACCATCCCCTCTGACTAAAATGTGGCTTCCCTCAGATCCTTGACCAGATGTCTCATCAGCTTCTCCAGAACAGAACAGGGGAGGCTCAGGCCTCAACACCCACCACAGACCCTTATCCCAGCCCTGCATCAAAGGACCTGGTTCTGCAGTAAGTGACAAAGAGGGGGTGGGGTGTGGGTGTGGGTGTGTGTGTGTACCCAGTGTGCAAGAGGAGGGGTGGCCAGTGAGAAAAGGGTGCTGGTTAGGACCAAAGGGGACTGGCCTCCTGCCAGGCCTGAGAGGCAGGAATCAAGAGGCTGCTTGATGTGGGGCAGGAGAGGGGTGGGGGCTCCTGGAGGAGAGGTGGAGGGTCTGAGCAGCATGACCACCTGCTCAGTCACCTCTCTTACCCCTGCCTCAAGCAGCATGCAAGAGCTTCACCAGGAGATGAAGCTACTTGCGTTTGACCTCCAGGACAACAACCGAATCATCCAACGGTAAGGAGCTGCCTCCTGTCCAGGAAGGGCTGGGTCCCTGCACCACGCATGCGGATGTGTGTCCACTCTCTGATCATATCAGACACGCGTAGACCTTGTCCACAAGTGAGCCTTCCCTGTTCAGAAATGCAGCTTTCATTTATAGTGTAAAACGTACGTCTGTCGGGGTCAGAATCCACTTGGGGGCCGTGGGTTATTTTTTATTTTAGTTTTTTGGGGCGTGGGTTACAGTCAGAGAGATGGGATCCTATGATAGTGCTGGGCGGTGGCTGCAGCTAGTTCCCTGTAGAATGTGCTGTTTGCGATGCCCGGTGCTGTGCTAAAAAAACCCTTCACCGGGCCACCTCCTCGAATCTGCACAACTGTTCTCACATGAATGGGTGCCCCCTCATCTCCATTCCCTACACCTGGAGGCCGCAGCCCAGATAGGGTGGGTGAACCGCCCCCGCCCACAGTGTTAGAGAATCTGGACCACCCCCCAACTCCATGCCCTCCTCCAGGTGTGGGTCGTGGAGAGGGTGGTGTGTGGAGTGCAACGGGACTCAGACTTGCAGATTTTGCGAACCAGTAAATTACAGAATGGAGACCTGGTGTGGCACTGCAGGCTAATGCACTAGACTGCAAGGCCAGTTTGAACCGCTAGATTGGCAGTTCAAGCTCACCAATCGCTCCTCGGAAACCCTTTACAGAGTCGGAACTGACTCGAAGGCGCACTTAACAACAACAACGAATTTCAGAAAAGAAAACTGGAAACTACAGAGTTGTCATCTTCTCACATTACCACTAAGCAAGCACATTTATAAGGGAAAACTCTTTGTTATTAAGAAGTCCCAGTTCAGAGAGTCCATTTGACACAAAGAGTAGGAAGGACAGAATCCCAGGGTATAGGAAAGACCTTGCTGTGAGGGTTAATTTGTATGCACAGTATCACTGGTGGTGCACACCATTAAGCACATGACTGCTGACTAAAAGCTGGAGGTTTGAGTCCGCCAGAAGCATTTTGTTAGAAAGGACTGGTGATCTACTCCCCCGACCAAATCAGCCTTTGAAAACCACGTGGAGCACAATTCTCCTCTGACACATGTGGGGTCGCCATGGGTCAGAGTTGACTCCATGACAACAGGTTTAGGTTCACTTTTTTATATACATACGTACACACACACACATACCTCCCACATCCTCCTCCTTCTCCTTTACCTGACATGTCTCCTTTCATGGGCCCCACTTGGGGGCTGGAGCCTTGGTGGCACGGTGGGATAAGCAGTGAACTGCTAACCAAGAGGTTGGCAGTTCAAAGCCACCAGCCACCTTCTCTTCCCATAAAGATTTACAGCCCTTGAAACCCTCTACATAGACACTCTGAGTCAGATTTGACTGGGTGGAAGTGAGTCTGGGCTTGATTGGTTGGGGGCCAGCATTTGGGAGCCAGTGGCCTGATGGAAAAAGATTTTACCAGGGCTTGAATCCTGACTCTGCTCCATATCAGCCACGTGACCCTGGGAGATTTGTTCGGCTCTGAGCTTCAGTTTTCTCCCCTGTGGAATAGAAATGTCTACCTCATGGGGGTTGCATGGGGGTTCAATGAGATGAAGTATGCAAGGCGTCTTGGGATGCAAACGATTAAGCGCTTGTCTGCTAACTTCAAAGTTGGAGGTTCGATCCCACTCAAAAGCACTTCAGAAGAGCTCACTAGGATTTGTGGTTCCCCAGAGGACATATTTTTCTGGGATGCTAGGGCAGGAGGTTGTGACTCAGGAAGAGAGCTTGTGAGTGATCCTCAGTATTTCAGAGGATCCTGGGTAGGGGAAGGCAATTCCTCCGAACCCCATCCCAGCAAGAGGAGAATCCATCCTCTTAAATGCCCCCAAAGAGGCCACATTCAACAGCTTCTTGGAACGACTTTCCAAAACCAGTCCTCATGGGCAGGAAGTTCTAATTTTAGTACGGATATAAATTTTTCTTGCTGTGATATTGAATCTATTTAGAGATCGTTCAAAACTTTATTTGAGTGAAATTTTCACTTCCTTAACCAGAGCTGCAGCCAAACAGCTAAACCAATAGCTTTCCCATTCCCTTTAACCTCCTTTAAACCTTGTCTACCTGTTGGAGTCACCATGGGAGCTTTTCTAAGAGGTGCAGACACCAGGGGCAGCCAAGATTTGGGGACTTTTATAAGCTTCCAGGTGGTTCTAATGTACAGTGGTTACCTTTCTGGGTACAATGACTTGACCAGAGACAGCTGAACTCTTGAGTGGCTCAGCGTCCAAGGCGCCCTGGGTACAGTCTGCAGGCTTCTTGACCAGGAGGGGAGAAGCTAACTTGTACCTGTCCTTACAGGTTAAGTAGGGTCCCCGTGGCTCCAGATGCCTGAGCTCCTTGGGGTACACGCAGCATCCTGAAGCAGGAGAGTCCCTCAAACACTGCTCTCCTGCACAGGGGGGACTCTGCAAGGGCGAGTTCTGGTCCCACCTCCTCAGCCTACTCCCTCCTGATGTTCGTCTGGAGAATTCACAGCATTACTTCCACTGCCTTTCCCTCTGGGAAGCAGCACTACTGGGATTGGGGGCCTGGACCACTTCTTTCAGGACTCCCTGGGAGCCCTGGATGTTCCAGAATGCAGCAGCCACTGCTTGGGCCGGACTCTGTGTCTTATCCAGGCCCCTCCGTCACCCTGGCCTTACAGAGGAACCAGGCCCGCTGCAGAGAGAAGAGGCCCCCCCTTGGTTTACAGAGATTCATTCCTCAGGGAACAGGGGAGGAGGCCTCTCTGGTGTGTCCAGGGTGCTGGGTCAGACAAGCTTTTCTAATCAGTCTTCCTTCCTCCTGAAGTGTTGCATGTTGAACACAGCCCTCTGTCCATCCTGTGATATGGCAGGGTTACCACTTTCAGCCCCAGGCATCACAGAACTTAGTTTCCTTCTACCTTGGTCTGGCTGAGCTTGGGGTTGGAGAGGGCGGGTGGTGGAGGTCAGGTGCCCTCCCTGTTCCCTCTCTCTGAAGCACCGTCAGGGCCAAGGTTGTGCAGTCAGGATAGGTAGCCCAGCCTGTGAGTCTACAGCCTAAAGGAGACAAAAAGACCTGTGCCTGTAAGATGTGGAATAAACATGGCCTTCCTTCCCATTTCTGTGTGCCTCTCACTGGACTGTGTCTGGGAGCAGGGAGGTTCACCTTTCAGTGTGTGTAGAGACTGCTGGGCCTGGCTGGGCATCTGTGAGACGTGCTGGGAAATGGAACCAGGGCTGATTCTTTTCAGAATCCTGTCCCTCCCCGAAATGGACCCTAATTTCTGGGAAGATGGCTTCGTGACAGAAGGTTAGTCTTCCTTCCTCTTTCTCCTCCTGACACTGTCTTCTGGGAGCTGTATAAGGGCCCTTAAACTTGGGGAAAAAGAATGTGTCTTATGATTTTTACTTCAGAACCACAGTCTAAGAGCCTGACTCTTTGCCCCACCTCCTACCCCAACTGTTCAAAACCCAGGTTGTATCCGAAACAGGGTGTCTGAATACTACTACGGTTTATTTTAAACCCACTGCTGATTCTAGCTCATAGGACAGAGTAAAACTGCTTCCTATGGTTTCTGAGACTGCAAATCTTTACAGAACACATGGCATCAACTTTCTCCTGCGCAGCAGCTGGTGGGTTTGAACCACCGACCTTGCAGTTAGTAACCCAACACTGAATCCATTGCACCAGCAGAATTCCTTAGGTTATTTTAAGCATCCTTTCTGTTTGTCTAGAATGCTGTCTAAGTACGGCATCTAAATTTCTGCAAACTGTAGCAAATTTTGTCTTTCTTTTCCAGTACTTCCAGACTTGCTTTCAATCAGAGCTGAACTACCCAGCTAGTCTGGAGGGGTGGGGGCAAGGGTACTGACGCAGCCCTAGTAGGGGAGTGAGAAACCCCACTATGTGCTTTGAAGGATGCAGACAACATTATACTTAACAGTTGACCCCAGAGATCCTTCTGGCCCATTTTCATAGAATTCCCACATCCATTTCCTGTCCAGCAGCTTCCAGAAGTGAGGATAGGTGGGTGCTGGCATCTGACAGTCCCTTTGCGTCTCCACTTCCTTTGCTTGTCTAGGAAAAACTGCTGGTGTTAAGTGCTGTTGTGTCATTTCTGATTCAGAGTGACCCTGTATAGGGTTCCCAAGGAGCGGCTGATGAGTTTGAACCTCCAACCTTGCAGTTAGCAGTTCAGTGCTGATCCTATAGTGCAACACCAGGGCCCAGAGGAGGATGACTGGTGGTTGTTTGCTAGCTTCAGACCTAAGTGACTTCCTGTTGCAATTTGAGCCTTAAGCTCATGGGGTCACCTAAGCTTATGGGTTTGAATTCTGGAGCTCAAAGGCCAGCTGTCACCTTGATACCTGGACACTGGGCCATCTCTGGTCTGTTCTGCCTGCAGGAAGCTCAGGCTAACACTCTGGTTCTTCAGTGACCCTTCAGGAAAGTCCCACAATGGGTTTTCCCTGGCTGTGTCTGGACCTCATGTGTTTGGTGGGGCTCAGTGAAAGAGCCAGGGGATCCCTGAAAGCCAAGTGCAGATTTCTGGGGGATGATCTGATCCAGGCACTATGATCTCAATAACCCAACCCAGTCAAAGGCATCTGTTTTTTCCTATACTAGGCAAAGCCACTGACAGGGGAGCCCCCCATCTGAAGTTCTACAGAGCTTCTGATTCTGTCTCAGGAGGAAATGTGGCAGTGGACCAGAAGGACCTTGTACATTTCTGAAAACCTCTGAAAGGTCCCTCTCTGTTCCCTGCAATGATTCCTAGTGAAACTATGAAAATGAAAAGAAACAGTTCAAAACTCAAAATCATAAAAAACTAAAAAATAGAGACCAGGTTTACTGTTGGATAGACTGGTGGAATCCCTGACACTATGGCCCTTGGTGCCCTTTCAGGTCTGAAAGTGAACTTAACCTCCGTGACTCAAGTTTCAGTCAAGTCATGGACATGTCTGTAAAGAATGGTGTGGCGCTGTAGGTCAGCACTGGACTGCTAACTGCAAGGTTGGGAGTTCAAACCCACCAGTCACTCCTTAGAAGCCTTATACAGGGTCGCTATGAATTGGAACCGGCTAGATGGCACTAACAACAACATAAGGAGGATAATGACACTAGTGAGGTAGGCACACCATTTGGGATAAAAAAGGCAGCACTGACCAAGGACAAAATCCAGAAGGGTTAGGGAAGAAGGAGGAATGGAAGCAGGAAACACAGGGAAGAAGTGGAGCAGCTGGTGAGCTTGAACTACTGACCTTGCAGTTCAAACAACTTTGCAGTCTGACACATTAGCCTACAGCACCATACGAGGACTTCCCTCCCAATGTCCTACTTCCTTGATTATGAGGTCCCTGTGTAGGACGGAACAGGGCACAGGGTGTAGAATAGCATTCAGATTTATGTGAACATCCTCTTAAAAGTTTTCAGGGCTATTACTCATGCTGGCTTGAGTTAATTAAAGGAAAATGGTGGCTCTGTATGATAAGCATTAGACTATGAACCACAAAGTAGGTGGTTCAAGCCTACAAGCTGCTTCTCAGGAGAAAGATGAGGCTTTCTACTCAAGCAAAGAATGTGTTGTTGATGTTATTACATGTCACTGAGTCAATTTGGACTCATAACAACTCTATGCACAATAGAATGAAACATTGCCCAATCCTGTGCTAGCCTCAGAATCATTATACTTGAGCTCAGTGCTGCGGCCACTGGCCAGTCCATCTCCTTGGGGATTTTCCTCTTCTTCTCTGACCTTCCACTTGGTTGTTGTTGTTGTTGTTGTTGCTAGGTGCCATTGAGTTGGTACCGATTCATAGCTACCCTATGTACAACAGAACAAAACACTGCCTGGTCCTGGGCCAACCTGACAATCGTTGCTACACCTGAGCCCATCGCTACTGCCACTTTGCCAGTCCATCTCACTGGGGGGTCTTCCTCTTTTTCTCTGGCCCTCCACATTACCAAATATGATATCCTTCTCCAGTGACTGGTCTCTCTTGATAATATGTCCGAAGTATGAGAGATGAAGTCTGGCTGTCTTGGCTTCCAAGGAGCACTCTGGCTGTACGTCTTCCAGCACAGATCTGTTGGTTCTTTTGGCAGCCCATGGTACTTTTAATATTATCCTCCAACACCATAACTCAATTGCATCAATTCTTCTACGGTCTACCTTATTCACTGTCTTGAAAATACCATGGCTTGGGTCAGGCACACCTTATTCCTCAAAGCAAAGCACACCTTTGCTCTTGAACACTTTAAAGAGGTCTTGTGCAGTAGATTTGCTTAACGCAATATGTCATTTGACTTCTTGTCTGCTGGTTCCATGAGTGTTGATGGTTGATCCAAGCAAAATGAAGTTTTTGACAACTTCAGTCTTTTCTCCATTTATCATGATGTTATTTATTGGCCCATTGGTGAGGACTTCTGTTTTCTTTACACTGAAGTTCAACCCATACTAAAGGCTGTGGTCTTTGATCCTCACCAGCAAAGAATGACAGCCTTGGAAACCCTATTCTATGAGTCAGTACTGACTTGATGACAACAACTGGAAGGATACAGGGGCATGTCCCAGCTGTGCAGTCTGGAGGGACAGTCTGCTCCAGAGGGCCTGGGATCCAGACTGGGAGGATTAAGACAATCCAGGCACCTCTCTCCACACCTGTGGCTGCAGAGCTATACTGTCCCCTTCTGGTGTCCTGAGACACCACCACTTGCTGAATTCAGTTGGGAAGGGTGTGGTCCAGTGATCTGTATTGCTGAGATGCTTTCCTGGTGATTCTTAAATTGGCTTAAAATGGTTGTGAACACAGAGCTGGAGTTTCCAAAAGTGAGTAGCCCAGCATAGGCCAATGAGCAGTGGGTGCCATGGTAGACTAGGTATACCCAATAGCCAAGGCCAAGGAAGTCAGTCTAAGGATAGAAGGACCTAGTGAGTGTCCACCACAGCCTGGCCACCCTCTTACTTCATCACCAGTTTCTCTCATGGAAGGTCTCACTGGAGCCTCCAAGGATTGCTGGGATTACTTATTTTGGATTCATTTCCAAACAGCTTCAGTGATTTCTTAATGGGAGTAATTCCTGGCTTCTCTTCCTTTCATCCCACAGAGGACCTTGAATCAGGCAGCCCCACTGGGAGGAGTTTGGAGTGGGTCAGGATGACTGGAGATAGCTTCAGTTTGCTTTCCTTGGAAGCTCAGAATTACTGCCACTTGGAGCAATGTGGATCTTTTCCTGCACCTTTCATTAGGGAGAGGAAGAGAGCAAGGTGAGACAGGAAAGGAGGGAGGGAGTCGGAGACGGGAATGAGAGGGAAAGAGAAAGAGGAAGAAGGTGAGAGAGGAGAAAGAGCAGAAAGAAGATCAGCAG